CGGCCCGACGCAGGCAGCTGCCCGGCCGGGAGCCAGGGAGCGGGGGCAGTGCCCTCCTCCCTTCTCACTCCTGGGCAAAGCACCTTTTCTGGTTCCTTTGTCCTGACTTAAATAGGGCAATTTGCAGAGGCACTGATTGGCTCAACCCCGAGGGGGATGGCAGTCTGATCTGGTGGCCAGAACCGGGTCTGACCCTGTTCCAAAACCAGGGAGGTCACAGGGAGCAAAGCCCCTCTCCTGCCACCAGAACCCCCACCCACCCCACATCAAACCATGACAATAGTTAACATTAAATATTCTTTGACAGAAGATATTTTAAAATTCTGCTCTGATAGCTTTCAGGTTTGATTTTAAAGATGCATCATTTTGAAAAATTTAAGATCTGTGTCACTTACGTGCCTGTATGCATGTGGGTACGTAAAATATATATATATATTATGACATATATGCACCTTTTTATTAGATAAGCAGCATTTTGTGTTGGACAGTCAAAATCCAGAATATGTAGAAAATGCTACATATAGGATATACTTGTGTTTGAATAAAATTAACAGACTGCTGTATGCCTCATTATATTGGATTTTTCATAAATGTAAGTTATGATTTTGAAATGTTAGATTTAGTAAATAATGAATAGCTTAAAATATTTTTCTTGGCCAGTTTTTGCTATGCTAGCTGTTAGAATGGCTGATTTTTAGATATGCTCTACTTCATTAATAATGGTTTGAGTGTTGTTACTAAATAGTGACCATAGAAAACATCCTGCGTTTAATTCCTTGGGGAAGCTGAGAAATTACCTTGATCTTGCAGCATTCTTCAAACTATCATTAAGCTTCTACACTTCATGTAGAAAAAAAGTTTGAGCTATTCTTCCTATGTATTTGTTCTCCCGTGCCATGTCTCTTTTCCTGATATATGTGAGGGCATTTATTTTTACTGAAAATAGGCTGTCTGATCCCACTATGGCTTGTTCCCACCTGGAGCTCGCAACAGGCTTCAGGGAGAAAATGTTGTCAAAACCTTTTTACATTAGCAGTCGCAATGTGTGGCCAGTAATTCTCAGGACTATCTTTAGTTAGTGGTGTCTGCTGTTGCTGACATGGATTATTCAGTACAGTGGAACAGGAGTCTGTTTTCCTTGGACCGTTGGTCTGTCACGTGTCTTGGCTAAATGTGCAATCAAGTTGCCATGAACCAGTTGAGATGCTGCAGTGGTCTAATCCGCACTGTTAGCTTGAGATAATTTGACAAAGATTAGCCCACTGCAGTAAACTAGCTCCTGTTTATTGTCAAGTAAAAACCTGCACAGGAGTCCTGTTGGAGGCCTAGTGATGTGTTTTGGTTGTCTGACTGACCCTTTAGTATTTATGTGCAACCACATAGTTATTCCATTAGCTTTGCTGGAGGAGATGAAGGTAGAAACTGTGAAAATTTGTTCAGACCCCTGATCTTGTGAGACCCCACCTGGAGTACTGCATCCAGCTGTGGGGACCTCAACATAAGAAGGACATGGAGCTGTTGGAGTGAGTCCAGAGAAGGGCCACAAAGATGATCCAAGGGCTGAAGCACCTCTGCTATGAAGACAGGCTGAAGGAGTTGGGACCATTCAGCCTGGAGAAGAGAAGGCTCCGGGGTGACCTTATTGCAGCCTTCCAGTGCTTAAAGGGGGCCTACAAGAAAGCTGGAGAGAGACTTTTTACAAGGGCCTATAGTGACAGGACAAGGGGCAATGGATTTAAACTGAAAGAGGGCAGATTTATATTAGATCTAAGAAAGAAATTCCTCACTCTGAGGATGGTGAGGCACTGGAACAGGTTGCCCAGAAAAGTTGTGGCTGCCCCATCCCTGGAAGTGTTCAAGGCCAGGTTAGATGAGGCTTTGAGCAACCTGATCTAGTGGAAGGTGTCCCTACCTGTGACAAGGCGGTTGGAACTAGATGATGGAACTTTAAGGTCCCTTCCAACCCAAACCATTCTATGCTTCTAAGATTTCAAACTTAAGAGTATTAAGTTCACTTAGTTTCACTAAAGCAATTCTCCACTAAAATTAAAACATGAAAAGCTTGTCAGACTTTACAGCATTAGTGTTTCTGCACTCAATATGCAGCAACTCAAATTAATGACGCTAACCTGTTGAAGTTCCTTACCAGTCATTTCCATTTCTTTCTGGAGGACCTCCTGTCCTGCTTTGTGAGGGAGAATGGACTGGGCAACCCCAGAGGCTCCTTCTAGCCAACGTTTTTATGATCCTGTCTATATTTAGTCTTCACTGAAATAAAAAGTTTGTGGTTAAGACCCAAGATATGGGGCAAGGAGACCTAATTTCAGTTTCTGCTGGTGATAACTGACATTGTAACTATAAGAACAAATGGGGCACAAATGCAAAATATGCATTTCAGGTATATATTTAATTTATTGACAATGGGGAAATGGGGTCCTGATCCCGTTTGAGCCTCTACATGATTATAATTCTTTGTGAATATTATGTGACATACCATCTACATATTCAATTTTCCTTTTCTGTATCTCCCAGATATCTGCTTCCAGATGACAGCAAAGCTACAAAACACAAAACTCCCATAATAAAAAAGAGTGTGAACCCCCAGTGGAATCATACCTTTGCTTTCAGTGGCTTGAATTCGAGAGATATACGTAACGCCTGCCTAGAATTGACTGTGTGGGACAAGGAGTCGCTCTCCAGCAATATTTTTCTGGGAGGTGTCCGCTTGAGCACTGGAAATGGTAAGGTCCCATCTGACTGGTGATTGCTTTTCTTATTCTGCTCTCCTTTCTCACCGACAGTGATTCATGTGTATGAAGGACATAAAAGTTACTGAGTGTATGGAAAGTATATGTGAACTTGAGGAACTTAAAAAGGGAGAGAAGGCAACATATAATGATGATTCAGTTCTTTCCTCCATTAAGTGAGACACAAAAATTTGGTGTCCAGTTCTACCTCCACACTGTCTAGAAGAACTGGGAATACCTTGGAAGCATTTCTTAGCATCCCAGTGAGAAGGAAATGGCTACTGTTCTCCAGCAGCAGCCTTTCTGCTGCTGATGGTGTAATCTGGAAGAGCCGTGAATCCGTTTCTCCTCTGTTAGGAGAAAGTTGCTTCTGGTACAGAGCAGGGAGATTTATGTACCTCTGTCCATGTGCCACAAAGGAGTGTAAGGACAGACTGGTGCTCTCCCAGGAGCCACCTGTTTCGATATAACTCCCTGTACAGGTGGTAGTGTGAAGAGCTTGTCATTGGAAGTGCTTGTCATCTTTCTATAGACTGTTGCAGCAAATGAGCAAGTTAACTGCTTGCTAATATGCCAAAATGCCTCATGTTTTTGTAATTGCCAGGTGTAAGTAATGGTAAGGAGGTTGACTGGATGGACTCTCAAGGCGAAGAGCAGCACCTCTGGCAGAAGATGATTGACAGTCCTGGAGCTCCTGTGGAGGGGATATTAATGCTGAGATCCAGCATGGGAAAACGCAGACTCTGAAAGACTTTGACTACTGAGGGGTACCACAGGTACTCCTGATTTCAGTGGTGTTCAGGCTCTTGTCATCTTGTCCAGTTGAAAGTGGGGAAGGGTTATACTCTTTGCCTTGGATGTTAAGGCTCCGAGTGAGATTTTAATGTATTCTGCACTTTCGTGTGCAGGTTTTTAACCAAGTTTCTTGTCTGGATTGTGTTTCTCCTGCAGCCAGTGAGATTTTGACCAGATCGGACCGGCTTTCTCTGTCCCTTCTGGGGACTGCTGCACAGCTCATGAACCCCTCTGCCTGGTGGGGGTCATGGAGTGAGCGAATTCTCAAGTTAGTTATTTAGTAAGTAATTCCTGGTTTACCTATCTCCTTCTGGGTCAAAGATGGCCTGGAAGACAGCAGTGATACAGTACAAGCAGACTCAGAGTGAGTCTGTGCTTTAGAAAGCTTTTTTTATTTGGAAAGATAAGAAGCCATAACGTTACAAAAGATAACAAACAACGTTGCTTTGTCATGTGTGCTTGTTGGGCTGTGCAGTGTGCAGGATGACAGGCTTGGGACCAAGCAGCCCACTAAGGAAGGCCAGTCCCCTGTGTTGCATACTAGAAACAGGCAGCAGGTGAGCTGGTGTACAGTGCTGGTGTTCTGGCATTCTCTGGGTTATTTTCATGCGCTATATAAAAGGAAGACTTGATTCAACGTAATCAAAGAGCCTCTAATGAAAAATAAATTGTAACAAATTCCCAGTTTTCAGAACTGCATGGTATTACTGTGGTTTTCATTCAATTGACAGCTCTAGCTAAGATCTTCTGGTATCATTGAACGGAGGGAATATGTTCACATGCCTGTCCTCATCTGATACGTCACTGAGATGAGACACATACTGGGTTTGGACACAGTTAACTAAGACCTTGATTCAACAGATCATGTAGGAAAGTGACATGATTAAAGCAAATGCTGGAATGATTTGCGCAATTTTAGAATTTTCTCTGAATGGGCTGGGATCCCATTCAGGCATGCCCATGCATGTTAACTATTAACCGGAGTAGGACTTTTTTCTCCTGAACATCCCCCTGTGAGTTAACAGTGGATTTAATGATAAGAGTGGGTTTTGGCCAATTCGGTCATTAATCTTATTAACCATGACAATTCAACATGGTTCAACAGCAATTTTGTCACGTGGTTTCCTAAAGTGATTTTACACCTACTTAGATCCCCCATCCTTTGGGATCTTACCCAGATCATATGTGAAGAACATGCTGTTTTGAATAGTTGTTGAGGGCTACTCCTACCATAATGAGATAGGATTATAATCTTTTTTCAAGGACAGCACGTGTCTGCTTGCAACATTGGATAACAATACAGTTGCATGGTGTGTGATTGCTCAGGGTATAAGACAAAGGAAGATCATTAAACTGAGTGAACAACATTTCTTCTGAATTTTTAAGAATTAGAACACAGCCTCCTATTTGAACTGGTAAATTCGTCTGTAGGTATTCTTAATTTAATTTTTTTTTTCCCCAAATGTTTTATTTTTGGAAGGAAGGCAGTATTAGCACTGAGGAAACAAATAGAAATATATGGAAACATAATCCTTACATAAATTACTGGGAAAAAAATAAACTTTCAAATAATGTATCATTCCCTGTAGATCAAAACACCAGTATTCAAAGATTTCTGTGAAGAATAAAGACCATAAAATCTAACTTGTTTGAGAGATACAAATGTTGTTCTTCACAATCCAGAAATTGCAAGAAATATAGATAAAACAATAGAATACGAACTGATAGCTACAGCTGGAAATTTTGACCTTTGTAGCTGCCCTAGTGTACAGTTAGGTACATGTATTTAGAGCTGAATCCGAAATGTTAAAATTTAATGTCTGTTCTTTTTTCTTTTTTGTTTTTTTTTTTTAAGGTATTTTATACTGTTTTGGTTTGAGTGGCTTGAAACTGCAGGGAAGTTTTCAATCAGTCTTTTAAAATCCTAACATTATTAGATTAAAAAAAAAAGTTAAAAATACTATCTTAGTTTTAATAAAACAATTAGTTTCATTATGAATATTTTCTATGAGAATTCTGATATGACTTTAAAAAGTCATTGGAGGTACTGCTTGCCCAGTTTGAGACCCACAATTTTCAGAAATTACTGAGTCATCTTTGAAAAAAAAACTCCGTTAGAGAATCTCAGTTTGAGAACTAAAAGCCAGCAGTTGCTCAAGAAAACTGACTTAATTTTCCTTCTTCATATATTCTGCATTTTTGTCTGAAGTCTTGCTCAAATTGGGCAGTGAAGCAAGTCTAGTCTAGTTTTAGCTGGCTTTCCACTTCATGCCACAGATGCCATGAGCTGCAAAATTAAAGCACAAATATCAAGCATGTATATTTTAGGACCTTTTTCTTATCATAATAGTCTTTTTTTAAGTAACAGATTTTTTTTTTTTTGTATCAGCATCCCCCAAAGTGAAACCAAACCTAACTTTTGGCACCTTAACTACCTCTCTCTTTAAAAGAATCAGTCTGAGACGTCTTAGTTGTTTGTCCTGCAAACCTGCATTTATTTTGAGAGTAATAATATTATATTGACATGGAGGCACAAGCTTGATTTTTCACTTGCTGGAAGATGAGTTCGAAAGATAAAGCTTGTTAAATCTAAAGAAAATCATTCTGCAGAGTAAAAGTCCAGCTGGCGTTATAGAGGAACATTGGGCAGTGGGATGATTTCATTTTGTTTCATTTTGATGGTGAAAATGGGAAAAATAATAACACAAAAAATCCTCCCTGTTGGACCTCAAAACGGGCACCTTTTTCTCTTGCCAAATTGAAAACCTGAAAATAATTTTGAACCGAACTAAACCTTTTACTTTTACACGGAGTACAAGAGCCTGTCTAATTTTTGAATGGTATTTTCCAACCTTCTAAGCGTGACCATTTTAACTAAATCAAGTCTTGCTTCGAAAGCAAAAAGTCTGTGCTTTACTACTGTGGCTCCTGCCCATTTTGGTCTTAGGTTAGAGTTTGTGATGAATGAACTCATCTGGGAAGCGTCACCTAGATCATACGTGGGCTTTAAGTTTTGCCTTTTCCATCCAAAGGGCCAAAATTTCACTGTGAGCCTGCACTTGAAATTATAGACCAGGCTATGAATAGACTGTAGGTGTCAGTTGCAGTTCAGCACATGCAGGGAACAATTTCACCGGGGAAGTAATTTTGGCCACGGCGATGGTGTTTGCCATTGATGAGATTCAGAGTAGTACAGTGAAATTACCTCCTAGGTTAGCAGTAACAATTCTGCATTATGACAGCGTATAATAGGTGTGTCACTCTGCCTGAAATGAGCCTCTGAGAGATGATGGGCATCATATAAACACTAGAGCAATTTGGAAAGCTTTGCTGTTCTATGATGTTATCGGCACATTTGTAGGAAGCGTTTGATTTGTGGAAAATGTCACATTTAATTATATCTCTCATATCTTTGTTCTCTTCCTTTACAAAAATGATTTTTCATTCGGAAAAAGCACAAGATGATTAACTGCAGATGTGATTTCTTGTTTCCCAGATATTTGAATTAATTGCCTATAATTATGCGTCATCACGTACTGTGTGTTACCAGGCTGAACAAAAAGACAGACAGGAATTAGGCTAAAGCCTTCCTTTTTGTATGTATGTTTATGGTATTGAAAGTGCATGAATGGTTTATTCAAGGCTAATTTTTAGGACAAAATAGCCACAATTTTAACATTGATTCATAAGCTCCTGCCTTGAGTAATTACACGTAGCAGAGCTGATGTTTCTAAAGTATTTCTCCATATAGACTTGAATGACAGAAGATGCGTCAGTGGAGAAGAAATCTTCTCTACAGCGGTTTTTGAAAATGTGTTACACACTGCATTTTACCCTGATAGATATTTTTCTAGCTAGGTGACTACAGGGCTTTCATTACTATCTTTTTCCCCCTTGTGATTAGATTTTGAGGGTTTGACCCATTAAAGAAGAATGAAAGTGCAACTTTCACTGTAGAATGTCAAACGGGAACAGTGAATACATCTTTAGGCAGTGTAGTTATTGCCGGTATCCATCGAAAAGAGCTGATACTGAGGGCTCTCCAAGCCCTGACATGAGACTTTGGTATCCAGATCTGTTCTCTGGAAGCTTCTCTGCTTGGTTTATCAGCCATGTGGGGACTTTAGGCTTCTAAATGTTGATGCTCTTGCTTGCATGCTTAGATGCCAAAAGCCATCTAAAATAGGTTTGAAATGGCCTCCCCATCTCCTCCGCCTCCATCGTGCTACATTTGAGCAAGGGCAGGAGGAAAGCTGTAAAGACTCTGAGAGACACCATTGCCATCTTCCTGTGCTAATCCAAGTGCCATTGCCTTCCTTGAAGGCCTTTTAGATGCCACATTTTGATCTTTCTTTCCTGGCTGGATGCTTCAGCAGATGGTTTAAGAGGGAAGTCATTGGGAGGGTAAGTATGTTTTGATCATGGCATATTAGACTGGAAGCTTATTCTTCTGTGCCTCTTCCAATGCAAATTACGCTAAGGTAGCAGGAAAGAAGCATTTTATTTATTAATTTTTTATTTTTCTTTCCCTGCCTGGTTAGGTCCTGCCAAGTGCAATTATTTTAAGTTGTATTCTGCAAAATATCAACTGAACTATAACAGCAGAGCAGCCATTGAGCATCCACTGGTACTAATTGATAACGAGAGGTAATGAGAGAGTTGCATTTAGACTGGCATAATTTTGGCTTCTTGAGGGATATGCATATTGCTCAGCTTCAGGCATGTAAAGTTTGCGGATTGTTGAAGTGAAGAGAAAGGTTGCCTGAATCTTCTACACCTTTTGAAAAAGAGCTGAGTCTCCTATTTCCACAGTTGCCTAGTTTGTGGATTCACACAAGACAGTAAGGGTTGTACCTGAATTTTTACAAGGGTCTCTTTCCTTCATCCCTCCCTTCAGTTCAGCAACCCTCATCAGAACGTTTCACCTGAACGTTAATCTCCAGTATCTGGAA